CTCGAATACGCTGAATAGCTTCAAACATAGATTGGATGCTTATATGAGCAATAGGGGTTGGGTGTAAACGGGACTGCCCCGTATGGGCCAATAGGCCCACTGCAGTTTCCTCCATTCTTATGTTCTTATGTTCTTATCAAAGATAGTCCCTGGGGCGATAACATAGTCTCACATTTACAAACAACAATCTCATAGGTGTATGTTTTTCTACTGGTGCTAGTTTGATCTGACAAAGCTCACTATACCTCCCGCCAAGATCAAAGCTTCTATGCCAGGAGAAATAGGAAACATAGCAAGTGAACATAGAATGAAAAAAATCCTTCATATCTAGCATTGTATCGAGACAAACTTGCAAATCAAAACAGCAACAGGTGTTACATCTCCTTACCAGCCCATATCTAAATAATAATTCATCTCAGTCAGTAATATGGCTACAACATCGTGTTTCATAGTGCAAAACATTGATCAAATGAACTCATAGAAAAAAGTGAGACTAAAAACAAAACATTCTTTGTAGTAAACATCAACAAAAATCAGAGAAAATACTTCAAAATACACAACAACATCAGTACATTAGTTGGGTCCAGCATGGCTCATGTCTTCCATCCAGCTGGTATCTGAAAAATAGGGAATGCCGGCAGCTCAGCAGCTGTAGTCGGTTGGTCCTTCATCGTCGACTCTCTTCCAATGTCAGCATAGCACATCTTCTGTTTTCTTTCTTCACATAGCACGTTTTCTGTCTTCTTCAATACCGCACCTTGTAGGTCGTTTTTCCACACCTTCTGACTTCTCACTTCCTCCTGGTTTCTATACTATTCCAGACGAGTTTTCTGTCCCATCTGCGTTCTTTCTCTACGTTTAGAGCATCATTTTCAACATCTTCTTGATGAATGTTTTGTTCCATCTTCTTTTTTTCTCAGTTCATCATCATTTTCATCATATTCCAGACGATTTTCTGTTCATCTGCCGTCGGCCCCCTCCGGCCGGGATGAAGGCCGGTCCACTGCTTGGGCTGTCGTCTCCTTAGATGACTCGTAAGGCAGGTTCCGGGGACCAGGGCTCGCCCTCCCTACGTGAGTGTCGGTGAGACCAAAGACCGTCCTGTCTTACACCTTCCACAGTGGTGAATCCCTCCCTGGGTAGGCTCTCCAGGGTTCGTTGTGTGGCGCTGCATTCCACACTCCTTAACTTCCTAAAGTAGAAAAATATAAAATCTTCTTAATCCTAGACCAAGGGAGGACTTGAAAGAAGTGACGTGGTGTGTGGTGGGTTGCGTGCTGCATTCATCACGCTGCTGCTTCTCTGCTCGTATGTACTGTGGTTGACGTCCAGCTGGGCATGGGGTGGTACTGTGTGTGACATTTGACAGAGAAACAATCCTAAAGGGATGATGGATCAGTTGGAAGTGCATTCGCAAAAAAAAGTTTACTTTATACTTCACGTCAATGTTTGGCAACTACGGTTTCCGTCACGACAATGTTCTCATTAGGCTGGTCGGGGAGTGAAACTCTGCGCACTACACTAAACATCATTTATCCCTACGCGTAGCAGCTACATCATAAATCAAACTAGCATAAATATACAATGAGTGAAGCACTGCATTCATCGTAATATTACGTTATATTAACCATCATTACCAACACATAGCTTATGGGGCAAAAGACGGGGGATTAGTGCGGTCACACGCAACGAGGCGGAGCGGGTCAAAAGGAGGTAAGGTCACACGAGGTGGGTGAGGTGGGGCTGAGGCGAGGCGCGGCGGGGAGGAGCTGAGGCGCGGTGTTGGGGTTAAGTGAGGCTGGCCAGGCCAAGCGGGGCGGGGTGGGGCGGGGCGGAGGTGAGGCGTGGCGGGTGAAGTGGGGAGGAGCCGAGGCGTGGTTGATGGGGCCAGGCAGGGGCTGCAGGGGGGGGGGGCAGGGACGGGGCAGGGCAGGGCAGGGACGGAAGGGTAAGGTTGAGGTAAGGATTAGGACAGGGAGGAGGATGTAGGTTAAAAGACATGTTAGGTTAAAACAGTTAGTCCAGACACAGCTTCTGTCACTAAAACACAATGGGTACATTTAACACTGACCAACAATCAAACTGCACTTGGGCTACTAAGAAAGTTCACAGATCGCGGGGGACACTGAGAAATTACTTACAGCACTGAACATATTGCTAGTATAAATTCGCGCATACCCTGACGAGAGACATTTATTTGAACTGCAAAGATAACACACTTGGTCACTTTTCACGCTACTACGCAGGAACTTCTTATTACGCACTTTCGAACAATACTCAAACAACGAGTCAGGTGTTATGGCTAATGAAGGAGGGCGTGGGTTAACGTTATAGTTCGCTGCCACCAATATAATGAGACACAATAAACAGAGAAGAGGAAGAGGATTACATATAAGTAGGAAGTATAGAGAGTAGGAATGTAAAGATAGGAAACTTGGTAGCATGGCCGTCTGTTATTTCCTTAGCGTCAATACACTTATCTTATCTCGTATGTCAATACACGTATATTACGTTCTTAAAGAGACAACTTGTTAAACACCTCTTCGACACAACTATTTATTAATTAACTCAATGACATGGACATATCAATATCACTATTATATCTGGGTATTATCACGTTAGGTCTAACGTTACTTGACACTGACTCTAGGATACAACATGAATGAATACACTTCCCACAATAGGTAATTCACCCTAGGGATAGTTCTGACAAGACTTCACGTGTACCCTATACCCTGACGTAGGCCCAGTGGGTGCTTGGCTGGGCTGCCGTATGCGATGCTCTCCTTTGCTGATGACGTCGTGACGTCTCCCCCCCGACCTGGGGGGGGAGGGAACGAGCGTGACTCTGTGCTAGTGGCCAGAATGGTCTCTCAATGTCCAACCTCTCTGAATGATAGTCGTGTGAGAATCAAGATGAGAATCGGAATCAGAATGATTGTGGACAGGACTGTAGGGCCTTTATATGGGGTCGGCCCAGCCGGCTTCTGACATCTAACCAATTATCACTAAACTGGTTAGATCCGGATAGCTGTGTGCAGGTGTGGTCATGCCCAGGTGTCTTGGTCAGGTGAGTTGTAGGTCAAGCCCCCGCTAATTCACGTCATTAGCGGCGAGGTCGGGTCCCTTGGGTCTTGGGGTGTGTCTACCTGGAGTGTGGTGGTACCACGAGGTCTCTAGAGTACTTGCTGTTATATGTGACGTAATTCTGGGCTGTAAGCTTTGGTCTGACAAACAATCATTACAATTATAACAACCACGACTATGATTATAATAACCACGACTATGCTTATAACAACCATGACTATGATTATAACAACCAGGACCATGATTATCCCATATACTATAAGAATAGAAGTGTGTCTGTGTGTGTTTGTTCTGGGCAGCCGAAATGGTACAATCGTTTTTCATCAAACTTGGTGGAAAAATCGCAAAGAATTCGTAGAGTGGAACAAACCTGGTGCCATGTCGATGGTTTCTTTAGGAAGGCATTAAATAACCATTTTATTTATGCTGGAAAACGATGTCGCTGTACGCTGTCAGCCTTCCAGAGGTTGCGCCCTAGCCAAGCATGAGCGTTCGAAATTTCAACCTTTGGTAAACCGTACCATCGAACTCGCCACAGGGCACGAAGGGCCCACGATCACTTGTAATACACTACTACCCTAATCACAATACACCACTACCCCAACCACACTACACCAACAGCCCACCACAATACACCACTATGCCAACCACACTACACCACAACCCCACCACTATACACCACTATCCCAACCATAATATACCACTACCCCAACCATAATACTCCGCTGGGAAGAGACCGTTACCCTCCCGAGTTTGTTTAAACAAAAGATGGCGGAGGTACAAAGCATCAATCACACAAATTTTATTTTAAAGATAAATAAGGAAATGTTAATTGCATTTAAAATACCTTTATTGTGTATTATAGACCAAAATTCACGAAAAGACCGCACGCTACGCTAAACCAGTGTTGCCCTAGCTAGCCTAATGAATGCAGGGCGGGTTTGCTCACTTAAGACAACTCAAGAGTGGACATAAGTTTCCATGTCCCCAGATTCCAGGGCACTTAAATTGCTTTGTGTAATGTACAGTCAGCCAAAAAAGTCGTGTCTGCATTCCGAACCCCGTAAATATTCGAGCAGGTAGTTCGAAGCAGCAGGGATAGTTTGGGAAGGTTGGTAACTGTGAGTTGGGGTATGGGTTGAAGAGGACCATACGTAAAGGTGCCAATTGTGATATTACACATGATGTAACATCTGTAATATATATTGAAATGCATAGTCAACATAAAACAAGCCTATAACATGTAAGAAGCGTTAGCAGCAATGACAACGTGCTACCCCGCCCCCTGCCTACTGCCCTACCACACTCCCTTCCTCGGGTAGCAGGGAGTGGAGAATCACGTAACTTACATCGGAATGAAAACCAGAGCTCTGTGTTTTTACTGTATGTTTACTCTCCTAACAAAACAGGATATACAGACCATGTCTGGTATTATATGGAGGCATCTGTATTATATATATATATATATATATATATATATATATATATATATATATATATATATATATATATATATATATATATATCACCCACAGGTATGAGCTGAGGCATCGACGAACGCACTCTACAAGCGCACAGAGGCACGTCGACGTATGGACAGCGAAATGTAAGATATGACTCCCTCAACTACCGTAAAATATCGTTTATGTTTGCTGATATTTTGAGTGATGTTCCATGCAAAATGTTAATTAACCTGTTTACTGAAAGTGATATAATGTTATAGAATTGAAAACACAAACACACACACTTATGTATATATATATATATATATATATATATATATATATATATATATATATATATATATATTATTTTTCTTGTCCGATGATGTTCTTATTTATAGCCTACAAGTAATTTTATACACATGTTAATATATCACGAAACTTATTTTATAACGCACATTCTTTCCTCAGATATGGCCACGGGGAGGGCTAACGCACCTGCGGTTTTAGCTGACAGGGGCAGAATAATCGGGCTGTGGCAGGGTGGCATGGCACCTGCCGACGTTGCTGACGCCATGGGTGTGTCTAAGAAAACAGTGCAGAGGTGGATCACTAGGTGGCAGGAGGAGGGTTCTCTGACGACAAGACCAAGGAGTTGCAGACCCAGGGTAACCACACAAGACGAGAATGCCCGTTTGCTGGCTGCAGTAGACAACACACTTAATAAGATAGTAATCGACTTCACCAGAGAACTCATGCTCCCCTGTCATCCTCAAACGAGTAGAAACCGTCTCCACAAGAGCGGTATAAACTGCTACGTTCCAGCAAAAAAACAAAACAAATTAACACAAGCTCATAGGGAGGCTCGGCTTGGATTTACTTTGGAATACCTTGGCGTCGACCCAATGTTATGGCCCAATGTTATATTTACCGATGTGAAGAGCTTCTCATCAGTTAAAGCTGGAGCACGATTCTGTTGGCGACCAGTTAATACACGATGCAAAGATAAGAACATTGACGAGAGAGCTACAAGTGGTCGTGTCACTGTGAATATGTGGGGATCGATGTGGGCATACGACCCAGGGGGCTAGTTGTGTTGGACAGGAGGTTGCGATGACGACCCGGAACCAATTATACTTGTGCACGACAACAGCCCAGTCCATACAAGCAACACTGTCAACTTGTGGCTCGATCAACATCCTATGATTCAACCTATAAACTGACCACCCAAAGGTTGTGACATAAATCCTATAGAAAACCTATGGGCTATCATAACTCGCAACTGGGATGTTGGCGAAGAACGGAGCCGGGAAATTGAAGCGCGACATGCTAATGAAGTGTGGGAACGACTGAGACGCCGCCCTAATATATGCTTCAATCTTGTGGAGTCCATGCCAGAGAGGATTCGTAAGTGCATTAACGCATAAACGCTACAGCTGCATGTTTTCATATCATACATGTAACTTTCGAATGAAAATTATTAGGAATAACATTTTGGGTAATTGGGTTAAGGCCAACATTTATCAACACCTGTCTCTAAATGTCTACATATGTAAGTCTTTCTGTGATGCAACATAATGCATCATCATGTGTTCCATGTAATCCAAATTAATGGAAATATAAATTCATATACGTTGTCACGTCGTATTCATCTTTGATAATGGAAAACTTTGGGAGAAGGAATAACGATGAAACACGTTTCATAACGTGTGTGTGTGTGTGTGTGTGTGTGGAATCTTATGAAACGTCGTGGTTATGATAATATAGAGCGGCATTTGTCAGTAGTGATAACATGTAATATCTCACCTCAGTTTCCTGTCGCCCAATACAGAGAACCGAATGATTATGATGATATGACTATTTGCTGGTGGGTGTATAGCTTGGGTTCATCACCTTGCGTAACACCTGCGGCTATGTTTCCCTCACCTCTTTACCAAAGTTCCACCACTTGTGGGAACAAATGCTCTTCCCGATATTACAGTGACGTCACCTCATGCCCCCATGTAATACGAGACATGGTCTGTATATCCTGTTCTGTTAGGAGAGTAAACATACAGTAAAAACACAGCGCTCTCTGTCTTTCAGGGCCAATTACAAGATCAGCCGTGGTGTTTACCATGATGTAGTACCCCCATGGTTATTGTGCAAGAAGCGTTTTTGGCTAAAAAAAAAATATGTACGATTCGTTATTGGAACGTGGGGAAATTTCGTGGTACTCGTACCCCCGCCCGATGATCACTACGATGGAACTATTTTTGAAACCAAAAGAAAGAAAATT